CCCCGCCCGCCCCGCCCCACCCCGCCCTGCAGCCAATCAGCGCGCGCCTCCGCGGCACGCCCCGCCCCGCCTCGCCCCGCCCCGCCAATCCCGCGCGGCACCGCCCGCCGGGCCACGCCCCCTCCGCCCCGCCCCGCGCGCGGACAAAGGAGCGCCGCCAGGGGGCGCCACGCCGCCACGTGACGGCACGGCCCCCCCAGGGCCCCGCCCACCCCGGGGGAGGGACACGCCCATGGGCGGGGCCAAGGGACCCGCCCCCGGTGAGGCCACGCCCACGTGGAGGGGGGAGAGGGGGCCGGGGTCGCGACAGCAGCGACAGCAGCGATACCTGTGACAGCAGTGACAGCGGTGACAGCAGTGACAGCAGTGACAGCAGCGATACCTGTGACAGCAGTGACAGCGGTGACAGCAGCGATACCTGTGACAGCAGTGACAGCAGTGACAGCAGCGATACCTGTGACAGCAGTGACAGCGGTGACAGCAGCGATACCTGTGACAGCAGTGACAGCAGCGACAGCAGCGACACCTGTGACAGCAGTGACAGCGGTGACAGCAGTGACAGCAGCGATACCTGTGACAGCAGTGACAGCGGTGACAGCACCGACACCTGTGACAGCGGTGACAGCAGTGCCAGCAGCGACACCTGTGACAGCGGTGACAGCAGTGCCAGCAGCGACACCTGTGGCAGCGGTGACAGCAGTGACAGCAGCGATACCTGTGACAGCAGTGACAGCGGTGACAGCAGTGCCAGCAGCGACACCTGTGGCAGCGGTGACAGCAGTGACAGCAGCGATACCTGTGACAGCAGTGACAGCGGTGACAGCAGTGCCAGCAGCGACACCTGTGGCAGCGGTGACAGCAGTGACACCAGCAATACCTGTGACAGTGGCGACACCAGTGGCACCAGCGACACCACCGATAGCAGCGACACCAGTGGCACCAGTGGCACCAGTTCCAGCAGTGGCACACACCAGTAAAACCAGTGACACCAGTTACACCAGCTAAACCAGTGACAGCAATGACTGCAGTGACAGCAGTGACAGCAGTGACAGCAGGGACAGCAGTGACAGCAGTGACACCAGTGACACCAGTGGCACCAGTGGCACCAGTGGCACTAGTTCCAGCAGTGGCACACACCAGTAAAACCAGTGACACCAGTTACACCAGCTAAACCAGTGACAGCAATGACAGCAGTGACAGCAGTGACACCAGTGACACCAGTGACACCAGTGGTGCCAGTGGCACTAACGGCACCAGTTCCAGTAGTGGCACACACCAGTGAAACCGGTGGCACCAGTAAAACCAGTGACACCAGTAACACCAGCTAAACCAGTGACATCACTGACACCAGTGACAGCAATGACAGCAGTGACACCAGTAAAACCAGTGGCACCAGTGGTACTAGCAAAACCAGTGACACCAGTGAGAGTGGCACCAGTAAAAAGTAACACCAGTGAAACCAGTGACACCAGTAACGGCAGCCGCAGCAGTCACACCGGGGACCCTGGGACAGGGGTGACGGGGCTCGCCGCACACCGGCCTGGGCCTCTTGCCGGGCCCAAGATCCCATTTTCCAGCATTTTTTTCCTCCCTGGGGATTTGGGATTTTTCAGTCGCGGTGCCCAAATAAGGGAACGATGGGAGAGGCTTTGGGACAGGAGCTGTGCGGGGCTGGGCCGGGCCAGGCGCTGGGCTGGGAATGTCCCCGAGAAGGCCCTGCCACCCCTTCATGGCCTGGGGTGGCTCCTCCAGCCCCCCAAAATCCTGGTGAAAAAAGGGAATGGTGGGAGAGGCTCCAGGGAGGGGGGGAAGGACAGGGCTGACAAAAAGGGGAAGGGGGGACACACCCCCTCCTTGGTCCTGGCACAGCACCCTGATCCCAGCCCAGCGCCCACGTTCCAGTCTGGGATCCTCATCCTGGCACAAGATCCTGGCACAGCACCCAAATCCCAGACTGGGATCCCTGGAATAGCACACCCATCCCAGACTGGGATCCCTGGAATAGCACCTCCATCCCAGACTGGGATCCCTGGCACAGCACCCACATCCCAGTTTGGGATCCCTGGCACAGCACCCACATCCCAGTCTGGGATCCCTCATCCTGGGCTGGGAGCCTGGCACCGCAGCCTCATTCCAGTGCCGGACCCGGGCGCGGGTCCCAGCGCGGGCCCCTGGGACCTGTCCCACATCCTGGTGTGACATTCACGTCCTGCTGCGGGACCCCGGGACCTCCACACGCATTCCAGCCTGGGATCCTGGAACCCGCATCCACAGCCCGGAATGGGAACCTGGCACAGCGCCCACATCCCGGTACAGGATCCACAACTAAGGACAAGATCCACATCCCGGTACAGGATCCTCATCCCGGTACGGGATCCTCATCCCGGTAGGGGACCCAGGCCCGGCACCCGCGCCCCAGCGCTCCCAGAGCCGCCGGTGCCTCCCGGCCGCTCCCGCCCCCGCCCCGCCCGGTGCCGCCCGTGGGCGGTGGAAAGTGCCGGGGGGGTGGCGGGGGAGGGGCGGGCCCAGGGCGTCGGCGGCGGCGGTCCCGGGATCGGGATCGGGATCGGCCCCGGGATCGGGATGGCGGGGCCGGGGCTGGAGCGGTACCGGCTGGCGCTGCTGGCGGCGCGGGAGGACGTGGGGAACCCTCGGGCTGGGACCGACTGGTGAGAACGGGAGGGCGGGGGACACCGGGAGAGGGAACGAGAGCCGGGAATGGAGACCGGGAACGGGGACGGAAGGGAGGACGGGGAACAGGGCACGGGGGATGAGGAGCCGGCACAGGGACCCCGGGGACGGAAGAGGGGACCGAGACTGGGAACGGGCGCTGGGACTGGCACCGGACACAGGACCGGGAGCAGGAACAGGCACCGGCACGGGCCAGGGAGTCGGGGGCGGGCCCAGAGGCACCGTTACCGGCACCGGGACGGGGGCTCCGGGGCGCACCGGGGTCTCGGCCGGGGGGTGTCCCAGGACTGAGCCCTGTGCGCCGCCGCGCTGGGAACCGGGAGTCGCACCCGGTCTCGCCCCGTCCCGCCCGGTCCCTCCCGGTGCCGCCGGGCTGGGAGCGGCGCCGCCGCCAGGGGCGGGGGCAGGACGGGCCCGGGGGGGTTTGCGGGAGCCGGGACGGGGTGCGGGAAGGGGGGTTCTGCCCGGCCGCACCGGTAGGACGCGGGTCCCGGGACGGCCTGGGGGTCCCAAGCTGACCCCAGTTCGGTGCCGGGGGGCCGGAGTCGGTGTCCCCCAAAATCCCCATCCCGGGGTGGGGGGCGACGGTACCGAGGCTCATGGGTCTGGCAGCCCCCCGGCGTCACGGGACCGGCCGTCACCGCGGCCACCGGCCACCCGGCCATTGCCCTCTGCCCCCGGAGCGCGGCTGGACCCGCTCCAGCTCCGGCTCCTCCCGGCGCCCGCCCGGCCGCGTGCCGGGCTCTGTCCCGCCATGTGGCGCCGCAGCCTGTCGCGACATGCCGTGACATGCGTGACGTGCCCTGTCCCGCGTGCGTCCCGAAGCGGAGCCACGCGGGAACAAAGAGGGGCAGAGCCTCCCGGGGGGGGGGGGGGGAGAGGGAGGGTCCCGCCGGGATGGGGCCCCCTGAGCCCTCCCAGACCCGGGCGGGGGGTCCCGGCACCCCCGCACGATGGAGGGGAGGGGGGTCGCTGGGGGTGGGGGGGCCGCTCCGGCGCTTCCCACATTCCCATTGTCCCGGGGGCGGATGCTGCCGGCGGCACTTCCATGAATTCATCCCAAGCTGGTGGCATGGGGGAACACGGGGGGTGCCCAAGCCTGGCAGGTCCCCCCACCCGCTCTGATCCCCCCCACCCCGACCCCCACCCTGACCCCCCTTCTCCCCCCCAGGGCCGTCTTTGGCTATGAGAAGCATCACGACCTCAAGCTCCTGGATTCCGGAGGTACCGGGAGCGACGTTTTCGGGGAATATTGGGGGGTCCCCCGAGTTCACCCCCTCTGACCCCTCCTCATTACAGCCGGGGGGCCGGATGAGCTCGCTGGAAAATTCTCTGTGGGCAGCGTCATGTACGGGCTGTGCCGGGTCCCCGATCCCGGTTCCGGCACCCCCAGGATCGTCCTTATCAGCTGGGTGAGTGCGGGGGGGCTACTCGAGGGGACCCCCGGATGGGACCCCCCCGAGCTGAGCCATGGGTGCGGTGCCAGGTGGGGGAAAATGTGCCGGAATCGCAGCGGGCGGCGTGTGCCGGGCACCTGCCGGCCATCCGGAGCTTCTTCAGGGTGAGTGGGGGGCACGGAGCCCTCGGTGGGTGCTGGGGGGGTGTGTCGGGGTCTTTGCCCCCCCAATATTCCCCATTCCTACCTCCCCTGTCCCCCCCCATCCCGCCACCCCGACCTTTGCCTGTGCCCGGGCGCATTCCTGGCGCTGCTGACTCAGCCGCCGCTTTCCCAGTGCTCCCAGTCTTGGCCGCCGCGCCGGAGCTGTGGTTGGGATCCCTTCCCCACCCCCAACCCCGTCCTGACGGGGGGGGTCCTGCCCTCCCCATCCCCCGGAACAGCTTCCGCTCATCTGTCTGCGCCCGGGATCTGGATCCGGCCCCACATCTGGATCCTGCCCCACATCTGGATCCAGTCCCACATCTGACACGTCCAAGGGAATCGAGCCGAGGTTCCCCGGGGAGTGAGGATCCCTGCGGGGGTTGGGGGGTGTGGGAGGGGTGACACGGTCCCAATCCCGGTGGCAGGAGGCCACGGCCGTGATCAGCGCCCGCCGCTCCGAGGAGGTGACGCTGGAGGGGCTGCGCCGAGTGCTGGCACAGCTGGAGCCCCCCGCCCCTCGCCCACCCAGGAGGACCCCCCAGGACACCCCGGAGCTGGTGGTGAGTGGGGGTCTCGCTGGGGCCATGTCCCTGCCGGAATGGGGAGGGCATTTGGGGGGCGATGGGTGCTTGCTCGCCCTTCCCGGGGGTCTCCAGGGGGTTTTGGGGATCCCACCCTGACCCCCCTGTGCTCCCCAAGGGAACCAACTACCGCAAGACCAACCCAGCACTGGAGCTGCAGCGCACCCAGCGCGATTCCTTCTGGGAACAGGCTGAGGTGAGGGGTCGGGGGGTTGGGGAAGGGCTGGGGGATCCCCCGGGATCCCGGGGATGGGGTCACGGCTGCTGCCTCGAGCTGAGGTTGCCAGGGGCTGAGCCCAGGGGTCCCAGTGCCGAGCTTGGTGGGGGTCCCAGTCCCGGTCTGGGGTGCTGTGGGGTCCCGGCCCCAGAGCTGAGGTCCGTGGGGGTCCCGGTGCTGTCGCGGCGGGGGTCCCACTGCCGATACCAGTGGGGGTCACAGTCCCGGTGCCGAGACCGGGGGGGTGCTGGTGTGGACCTCGGTGGGGTCCCGGTGCCGGTACCGAGGCTGGGACAGTCCCAGTGTGAAGTGTGGCGGGGTCCCGGTGCCGGTGCCGGTACCAACGGCAGCGGGACCCTGGGGCCGGTGGGTTCCCGGTGCCGATCCCGGTGCGTTCGCAGCGCGAGGAGCAGCAGCGGAAGGAGCAGGAGCGGCAGCGGGAGCGGGAGCAGCGGCGGCGCTGGGAGAGGGAGCGCATGGAGGAGGAGCGGCTGCAGGCGGCGGAGCGGGAGCGGCGGCTGCAGGAACGGGAGAGGCTCATCGAGGAGCGGCGGTGAGGGGCAAGGCTGGGCTCCAGCCCTGTCCCATCCCCATATCCCATCCGTGTTCCATCCCATCGCTGTCACCCCTCCCGCAGGCAGGAGCAGGCGCGGCTGGACGCGGAGGAGCGGAGGAAGGAGCAGGAGCGATGGGTGAGCGGGAAGGGGGCTGGAATTGGGGAGGGGGTCTCAGGGGGATCGAAGGGGTCTGTCCTGGGACACGCGGGGGCTCCAGCCCAGCAGGATCCAGGGCGTTCATCCCAGGGAGTCCCGTCCCAGGGGCGTTTAGGGGGTCAATCCCAGGGGATCCGAGGGGTGATTTTAGGTGTCTCTCCTGGGGGATCTGAAGGGCTTCATCCCAGGAGATCCATCAAAAGGAAAACAGGAGGGTGTAACCTGGGGATGTGCGAGGGTTCTCTCCCAGGGCAGCCAGGGCTCCATCGCATCCTGAGGGATCCGTGTTTGCCGTGTCCCGCAGGAGCAGCAGCAGCGGGAGCAGGAGGCGGCCGAGCGGGAGCGCGGGGGTCGCACCGGGCTCAGCGGCACTGCGGCCGTGAGTACCGGGACGGGTCCTTCCCTTCCCCCGGGGCACGGGGCGGGCCGCTGGTCCCGCCGTGGAGCCGCAGCCCCGCTGAACCCCCCCGATCCCGCAGGAAGCCGCAATCCTCGTCTCCCAGCGCACCCAGAACCCCCGGGAATTCTTTCGGCAGCGGGAACGCTCGGGCTCCACGTCCGCATCCCCCCTGCCCGGCAGCACCCCCGGTGGGTGGCATGGAAGGGTTGGGGGGCACGGGGGCGTTCTGGGGGGTCCCTGCTGACCCCACCCCGTCCCCGCCAGGTGCTCGTCGGCCTTTCCTGCGGTACCAGCGCAGCCTGACGGAATCCGCCTTCATCTTCCGCCGGCCGGAGCCCCTCCAGACCCCCCCGCCCGGAGCCTCCGGGGGGGCACCGCCCCCCAGCCCCCGGCGGCCGCCGCCGCCTCTGCCCCCCGGCCCCGCGGGAAGGGACCCCGCCACCACCGGGACCCCCACCAGCCCCGTGGGGAGGGGCCCCCCTCCCTCTGCCGCTCTGGGGACGCCCCCCAGCCCGGCCCGAGCAGGGTCCCCCCATGCCACCAGTCCTGTGGGGACAGGGACCCCTCCCTCTGCCCCCCCAAGGAGCCCCCCCAGCCCCGTGGTGATGGGCACCCCCCAATGTGTCACCGCTGGGACCCCCTCCAGTCCCCTGGGAACAGGGACCCCTCCCTCCGCCACCCTGGGGACCCCCAATTTTGCCACCAGCAGGTCAGGGTCCCCCCCTGCCATGCCCGGGACCCCTCCCCGGCTGGTGGTTCCCCCTGTCTCTTCTGGCTCGGGGTCTTCTGAAAGCACTTGTGGGGTACAGCCCCTCTCTCCTCCCAGCACTCCCGGCTTGGGGTCTCCCCCCAGCCCCTCCCGGGATGAGGAGGGGTCCCACCCGGACACTCCCCCCCTCCCCAGCCCCCCAGCATGGGAAGCTCTGGGGCCACTGATTGAGGATGTCCCCAGCCCGAGAGAGGGGTCCCCAATACCCCCGGCCGGGCCCCCCCCGCACAGCCCCGGCCCCCCCCGCCCGCTGCGGGACCCCCAGGATTTGGGGCGCAATGGAATCGGGGGGCACGAAGGGGGGGGCTGGGAGACCCCCTGGGAGCCGAGACCCCTCCCCGGGCAGGTACGGGGAGGGTCTGGGGGCGATGTGGGGCTGGGGGAAATGCGGGGGGCCCAGATGGGGTTCAGGGTTTATGTGATGTGGGTGATGGGGGGCGCGGGGGCTGGGGGGGCTGCAGGTTTTGGGGCTGGGGGTCAGGAGGGGAACACACGAGCCTGCGGGCTGGTTCTGGGGGTTGGGACGGTTCTGGAGAGGGGGGGCAGGATGGGAGGTGGGGTGGGGTCCCCCTGTGAGTGGAGCGGGGCCGCAGAGACCCCTCAGCTCCCCCCCACTTTTTACAGGGGGATGAGCCCAGCGAGAGCCCCGTCCTGCATAAAGCCACTCCAGGTACCCCAAAATTCCCCCGTAAGCCCCCCAAATCACCCCCAAACCCTCCCAGAACCCCCTCCCCGTCTCACCCCTGCTCTCCCCCCAGGCTTCGCGCTGCTGCTGGCCCGTGACGCCCCCCACCCGCCGCTTTTGGGGGGCCCCAGCCCCCCCACCGAGGACGAGGACCTCTCCCCCCATGCTGTGTAGCGGGGGGGGGGAGGGCAGCACCTCCTTTTTTGGGGGGGATCCCCTTTATGGCACCCAGGATGGGCGCCCCTCCCCCGCTCACCCCCCAGCCCAGCCTCCCCCCCCACCCCCCACACC